TTTATATCACACCAGAGGGTATTTGTAGGGTAAGGCAAAGTATAAATATTTAGCTATACTTACAATAACTGTTCATGTTATTACTGAGGTTCCAAGGGGAAAAATAACAAAATCACAGAATGCAATTGCTCTAATTCAGCAGTGCCTGTGACTATGCTGCAAGTAAGAGCTCTCCCCCTTTCCAAGATGCCAGTTCAGATGCCTCCAGTGAATTTTCCTGACATCATCTTCCTTCTTTTTAAAATTAATGTAACATAACCTTATTTTGTGCTGCTCCAGCAGTGCAGGAGAGCCAGAAAGCTCTCCTATTGGGCAGATGACCATCCTTCCATATGGGGAAGCCCTAGGCTGGCAAAGGGCTGGCTCTGTCCCAGACTCCAGCAGAGTAATAGGTGTAGTCTATGTGAAAGCAAGCATGCCTGAGAGGTGCAGGGCTCCACTGCTTTCTGAGCAGTCCCCTCACTGCCCTCCTAATCACGCCACAGCAAGGCAATGCAGGCATCTGAACCATCACTACTGCCAAGTGCACCCGAGGATTTACGTCAATATATCTGTATGAAATCGATCTAGACACAAACTTACAATAATTCATTAAACAAAAAGCTAAATATATCCATTCCTGTTCTTGCAGTTCACCAGCTGTGCTATATCCACTGCACTGGACCCCTGGATTTTCAGAATTTTAAAACATAAAAGCTCAGCCCAGATATTTCAGAACTTGACAAAAACTTGCTTATATTTTATCTGTAATTTCTCACTATATGTTTACCCTTCCTGTGAAAGTATTATTTTATGCTTAAGAAAGCACCACCCATTTTAGGTCTCAAGATATTTTACACATGTTGATAAACAAATATTTATAAAGCCTCAAACATACTATAAATTAAGGCCATTATTGCTTTTTCTAAAATGAGGCCCAGTCCAACTGACTTCTCTAAGTTCCCACAAAAACAGTTAGGAGTTTAACTCAAGACTCCTTAATCCCAGCCTTCTATATTAAACACACAAGCAGGAAAAATGTAGATTTTTTTTTCTAGCAATATAAAACATTTTCCATCTTTTTGCATGCAGTATCAGGTAATACGGGCATACAGCCTTGCTGTTTTTTTCCAAGTCATAAATGATGAAAGGGTGAAACCCATAGAAAAATTAGGAAAATACACTCAGGAGCCAACACAAGCAACACATAGGAAGTGCCATAGGCAATTTGGTTTAGAAGTATAAACATCACATTAGTAGACCCATGAGATAGCATGATGTAGCCACACCTGGAGAATCACCCCCCTATTCCCCTCCCAACCCACTAATGAAAACAAGTCTGAAGCCAGAACGTGAAGATTCAACTGTACAACACTGGTTTTGGTCTCAAAGGCTAACTACATCAAACAGACATAAAATAACCTGGATTCACTTCAGCCAAAATATGTTTCCACTTGAAACAAGATCAAATTCTGTGTAGAAGACCTTGGGATTTTACTAGATGCTGTAAATCTGTTCAGCAGCTGTGGGTGGCACCAGTTTCACAATAAACTGGACTATGGAATAAGTAGGAAAAGTCCTAGGTACAGTAACTGAAAGCTGAACAATGAAACAATCATCAATCATTCATGGCTCTTTCCTGCAGGAAACATGTGCTGCTATTATCTGGGTATCACAGTGAAATATCCACATTTGTATACGGCCTACAAAATACCAAGCATTTTCATGAGCTCATCATTTAAAAGAACACACACAGAAAAACTCCCAAAAATCCAAACCACCCCACAATCACCTTTTTCCCCAAGAAAACTGGTTAAATAACAACCAGTTAAAAAAAAAAATCACAGAAAATTTTAGATATTTGATTGCATAACAAAAGTAAACATCTATATTCCTGTAAGACAGGAATAGGTCTGCAGGTCTCCAGCAGCTGTTCTAGCTAACAGCTGGCAAGTTAATCCTAGGAGGCTGCTGGTGAGGCCAGTGGCACGCAGCAATGCAGCCAGTGAAAACTCACCTGTGGGTGCTCCACCCAAACCATAATACAACTTATTCTAATACAGGAAAGGCAAACCTGCCTTCACATTGTGGCCTGCATTAACCCCAACACCACATCAACTACTGCAAGGAAGAATCCCACTGCAGGGGTCACATCTAACTGAAACTAGCTGAAGAAAGTGGGGTCTTTGATCCTAACAAGGCAATAGCTTGCTGATCATCAGAGCATGTTCCAAGAAGAACCCTACAGCTGACAATTCAGTCACCCAGGGGATTGCAAGATACATCTTTTCCAGTCACACTCCTGCAAATATCATCTACTGAAGAGAACCCCCTTCATGAGGCTTCTACTAGCCTGATCTGTGGCACAGAGCTAAGGCCCACCCCTGCATCCCTGTTACGAGCCATCCTCTGCTCACCTCTTCCTCCCTGCTACACGTTCCCACTCTTGTACCTCTTCCAGAATAATTTCACCTGTCACGAGTACTTAACCTGGTTCTGTCAAAATGATCTGAACTAAAGTATTATTAAACTGTTTCTAGGCTAGTACGGGTCATTTTAGCAGAACCAGAGCAGAAAGCAACCACACATAAAATCAAGCCTGCATACCTGGGGGAGGAGGATGAGGAGAGGCAGAGACCAAGGGAGGAGCTGGGATGGCGATTCCTTAATCTGGCTCAGCTACATTTCATCTGATTACAGTCTCAGTAGCCCTGATAGTGAAAGGTGGAGCTTCTGTGAAGACTTCCAAGTTCTTTCCATCTGTCTGACTAAAAATACAATCCTGAGCTTGAGCTGAATAAATCATGGGGGAAAAAGGGAACCCAAAATCCCCCTGCAGTTGTGAAAAGAATGCATATTACAAATATGGCTCCCAAAAGGGAAAAGAAAATAAACCAAAACCAAAGATAAGCATATAACTCAAGTTCAGTGAAAAACCTGCCTATCTGGCAGCTGTGACAAGTTTAGAAGATACAAGGCTGGATTTCAAAATACTACTTTTCAGTGCAATTCCTAACACAAAAATCCCTCAATTGCTTTCACTGCATGGAAAATTAAAAAATGCTGTCAACATAAATAGTGCCAAAGAGCAGAAGTTTTTAAGATGATGATCAACATGCTGATGTACTGTTCCAAACCATTAGGAGAATATTATGAATCAACTTTGGAGCACACAGTCTGTCTAATTCACTTACATTCTCCAACATCGATTTAAAATTCACACAGACTCCAAACACCCAATTCTGCCACAGTGAATTGCATCCAAGATTACAACTGGCTTTTTTGATTTGTTGCCAGTAGCACAGGTCCCTACTCTGCACTTTTTGCTTGCGATTATTTTTCAAACAGATTGCAGTCATACCAATAAAGATGTGCTTTCTAAGGCCACAATCCTGCTCCCTAAAAAGTACCCATGACATGGAACACCCTCATAACCAAGTCAGATGCAGTTTGCGTAAGTTAAAGGCATGCCATGAAGGATCCTTGATGGGACTGCAATACCTTGTATGCTCCACAGTCCTCAGTCCCCTCTAGAGGGAGTCCACCAGCTGCTCTAAGGAATGGACAATACTGTCCAGAACACTGCACAGTCCTTTGACCTCCCTCTGCCTTTGTTCTTTGACTTTTCCTCTGAAGGAGCTGCATGATTCTGAGGAAAGGGTATCATTATCAGGTTTGGTTTCCTGCAGAAGTTACTTACTAATAAGCCTTTTTGCAACATATTCTTCTTACTTGGACTCAAACTGGCAGCTTTACTATCATTAAAACAAGTAGATCTAACAATACATGCAGACTGAAACCATGACCTATTCAATAAGAACCACACTCAGTCACCACTTGGGGGAACTTTTAAGGCTCAAGTTCAGAAGGATCCATTCCAGATCTCCATATGCCTCAACAGACAGAAAAGCCCTTCTGAAAGCTGAGCTGAACATAAGTACATCCCATTATGACAGGAAAAAGTTATCTATCCTGTACTGGAAATATCTGTTAACTCCACCATTTAAAACCTGAAAAAAATCAGACTGTAATCTACTCTTACAGACTTCATGTGGTCAGACTCTGCTGCCTTCTCTGCTCATGGCAGAGGAATACATGTGAGTTAGACCAGGACTCCCCAAAATAAGCTTATTTTTTTCAAAGCAGGGGTGTGTTTGTTTCCCTAATGCAGTACAAAAAGATGAATGACCATGCCTGATTGCTCAATGCAACTCTTTGTTTACATACCTGATGTATCTCAGTTAAAATAGGTGGGTATCTCTTTTCTATTAAGATACGCAGACACCTACTACAGAAAGAAAATACTTGTAACAGGAAAAGAACACACTAAAAGATTTTTCAGAAATGGGACTCCTTTTCTTTTTGGCAAGTAAGAATGTTTTAAAGGCTGGGGGAGTAAAAAAAATCTCAAATCAGAGCAGGGAATGTAATAGCAGTTTGAGAATCAATAGTTTCTTCCTTACTCTTAAGTACAAAGTAATTTGCTACTTCTCTACAACAGTGCCAGACTACTGTATGTCTTATGCTGGCCAGTAAAAACTACAATCAAGGATCCTCCTCATTTGTCTTTTATTTAGGGAACAGTGGCCTTTGAGTGTCTGCTCTTCTCCTTACACCATTTGCTATGGAGGATGTAACTCATGGAAGGAAATAAAAAGGTGCTTTACTTTCTCCTGTAGATACATAAGGCAAGGAATGACCTAGCCCTACATATGCTATATATTACAAAGCCATTATGCTTGCCCTAAGTGTCTCTTTTTTCCCTTTTTTTTTTTTCCTTTTTTTTTAACACCATATGGTACTATTTATCTTTGTGAGTACAAATAAAAATAAAGACTTCTTGAAACCACATTTGATTTATTCCTGACCACTGTAAAATCAGTAATAGAATACACTGTCAAACCACTGGCATGGAATGTGAATAATGTCTATTCTGCATTGAGTTCCTTCTCACACGAACATACACACAACTACATTAAAGAATGTGAGGCAAGAAGAAAGAGTCATGTTGAAGTCTGCATTCACTGTATGCAACAGTTGCAAACACCAAATATCCAAGCAAGTTTCACAAATTCCACTGTTCTAACAGAAGGTCTCAAGGTGTCGACAATGATGGGACAGAGGACAACAACAGCTAGAAACACCCTAGAAGAAAAAAAAACACTGTTCCAAAAGGTTGAAGAAGTGAATTAGTATTTTGACGCAAGGTACTGCAATACCTGGCCAATTAACAGTACTACCCAGGCTAGTAGCAGCTACTATAAAAAAAAAAATGAGGGGTGGGGGAACAAAAGTACCAAAAACCATGCTGACAGCAAGAAAGGTGCTGCCTCTTCCAGCACTCAGAATTAGACCCTAAACGATTACAGTTCTTCATCAAGGCAGCAAATTAGTCATGAATCTACAGTATTTTAAAGCTCTGTAGCTGAATATTCATATTATCCCAAAGTGCTTAGATCACTTCAAATGGGCACATGGGAAATTTGGGATGCTCAATTTGTGGTTAGTTACTAATGCAGCAATGTTTTGCATTAATGAAACTCCTGATGTGCATTAATTACTGTACTGGCTTGTAACATATTTTTGCGCCTATTAGTCTGCTAATATGTAGAATAAAAATAATCACGTATGACTTGTGTGAGTAGGGAAATGTAAGCCACAGCTCATTTGAATTCTGAAAAAAGCAGACTATATTAAGAAACCATGCAGTTTCTCACTGGTCTCTCCTGTGCATGAGAAGATGCCATTAAGAAAATGCATCAACACATCTAAGCTCCTAGAAACAAACTTACCTTGGAGTCCCTAGAAAACGCTGTGATCTCAGTTGTTCAGCCACATACAAAGATGCTGATGTTGCCAGTAGTTCTCTTCTTTCAAGATCTGTCAGCTTGTGTCCTGGTATTCAGAAAGCAGTGAAAAAAAAGAAAAAAAAAAAAACACACAAAAGTTAGATAGCACAGACCCACATGGACACAAAAAGTAACAGCCACCACTGAAGACACTGTTCAGTCCTTATACATGAAACCTACATTTTTTCCCTCTAAATTAAGATGAGGCTCACCACAGCAGACGCTCTGAGTTTCAGAGTTTAAATTGCATGTTTTCATACAGATCAGCCCTACTGCTAACACTGGTATCTCTGTTAAAAATAATTTGACAACTGAAAGAAAAAAAAATAACTGAATGATGCTGCAGCATCTTGTTTTCGTTACTGAAATGTCACTGGTTGACATATTGTGCCTCATGCTGGTAAGGAATCCATCTGTACATTAGAACTTACACAAAATATACAGCATTCTTTCTCAGCACTTTACCTTCCACAGGCTACAGATCTTCCAAGTAAAAGGGATGATGCAACACTATAAACCCTAGAAATAAATGGGGATAAAACTGCTCATCAGCCCTGAGCCATTTAATGTCATTTGTGTAATCATTAGTTTGTGACTAATGGATTCAAAGTCACTTTTGGCACTTCAGAAGCAGAAAATGGCTCAAAGTAGCCTATGAACGGAAGGCAAGCAAGCTAATAAAGGTTTGGACAAAAAGGTGCAAACCAGCAGGTTTTCTCCCAACCTGGTCTTGTTCCAGAGTGACGGTTAATTACAAATTCAATTGTCCATTCATCAGGCAAAAGACAGAGCACAGTGACGGAACTTTGCCCTCCCCATCTTTAGGATAGAAACTGCACAACACAGATTTGGTACGAAGATCTGGCAAACAGGTGGCCAAGTCTGGCATCACCAGAGAAGCAGAACAATCAAAACTGATGCAAGAAGGAGCAAAAGGACAAGTTAAGTACTCAGTCCATAAGGCAGTGGCAAGAAGTCAAAGTTGACACAGAAGAGGACAAGTGTGAAGCTGAATTACCACGGAGAAAAAGAGGCAAACTTTTTCCTCTGAGAGATTTTGCACAGATGAAAACAGGAGTGTTTCAAAAGCCAGAGGAAAGGAAAACACAACAAATAAAGTTTTTTAAAAAAAGATAAAGGTTAAGACTGAAAGGTTTAGCTGAACACAGTTACAACACAGCCTTCAGAAAGTGCTTTATGCGTACATATCACAGCAAGTGCCAGCATCTATGGCAAGTACAGGTTTCACATGAAAGGATAGGGGAAGAAGGGGTTCAGAAGGTTGGAATTCCTTAAGCTACTCTGCCCAGGGGGGCACATTTGTCCCCCGCCCTGGAGCAGAGGACCAGCTACACAGCTCCCTGTCCCACCACCTGCATCACTCCTGCATGTAACATCAACTCACATTCCCCACTACTGGCCACCAGTAAGTGACAATTTCCTTCAGTAGCATAAAATACTACTAATTCAAGACTTATGAAAACCCAGAATGGAGGCCTCTGGAAAAGACTGGAGCAGACTTTACAGTAACATGCACAATTTAAAAACAGGATGTCTTCTGCACAGGACCCATCGTTCCACTGGGCACATTACACATGGACAGGCAAAAAGGCTGCTTAGAGTCCACCCTGGCAATGCAATCATGCCATGGTGATGCAAATACACTCATTACAGTTCCAGCTAACAGTACAAAAGAGCTGTCACAGGCCAAAAAAATATGCAAATTTAAAAATAACCAAAGCCAGCAAATCTACATCAATCTATTTTTAATTTTGTCCATTCTAACATATTCTGGCTAAAGAGTACTGCAACTTCCTTTGCTCAGTGTTTATTTTTTATCTGACTTGAAATGGAAACTTTTCACTTTAACAAACCCATGCAGAAGTAAAAATGCTGAACGGCTGAGGAACTGGCCTGAGAAACAAACTTGATCTTTCCTTTGCCATCTCTTAGAAAAACTGATTGCAAAGCAAAAGTGGAAAATGCTGAACTTTTGGACTCTTTGTGTATATATATGCATATAAGGTGTATATACAAGCCTTATGTAATTATACAGTGCAATAACATCAACATACCTGGCTCTGAAATGTGCCTATTTTCCAATTCTATACACACCGTTAAGAAGCTCTGAGATCACTTTTCCAAAACGCTGCATCTAAAATTGATGAATTCTTTACATGTTTCAGCCAAAGATACATCAGGAAGCTATCCTAAAACCTTTGCTTTTTCAGTCACTCTGCCTAACACCCCTGACAAGTTTGTGTGACCAAAACTGCATGTTCCCACCTGCTCCACACCCTGGTAGTATCAGCTCATACAAAGGAACAAGGTAAAACTAGAAAGATCCCAAATTGAAGGCTTTATTGCACGACCTTCATCTTGGATGCAATCAATAACTGCTTTTGCACTTGCTGTGCTGCAAAAACTATTTTCTCCCTGTATCTTCAATAAAAATCAAACTCCAGACAGTGAACAAAGGTCAATAATTTGAAACAGGTTAACAACCGGTCAAGAGTTACATTCACTGCTTCGTTACCACAACCATGAAAAAAACACTTATCCACTTTCTCCGTCTGTCACTATTTGCATTAGTTGTGGCACAAGTGCAGCAAGCAGAAAACCAGTCATGACTCTGAAAGATAATATGAACTGTAAACAAGAACATACCAAAATCAGGTTTCGGTCTTTGGCAATAAAAGTACAATCCTATCACAGAAGGTCCTTAGCACAGCTTTGGAGGCACACCTCAGAAGAGTGACTAAAGGCTGCTTCCTAAGGATGGCAATTTACCCTCACTACACAAGATGAACCACTGTCAGTACTGCCTTAGTTCTCTGAACTCCAGTCCCACATCCCCTGCATTCTGCTCTTGCTCTGCTGCAATGCTCAGCAGAATTCTGAATAGTTTTGAAGTTAAACTTTCAATTACAATACTAGATTTGGAAATACACAGATGTTCCAGACAGTGATACCTCTGTTTCACTTCAAGTGTTATTTTACTTTAGAAGCCACACCTCAGGATTTCAACTGGGCATCATGAGCTATAAATTAATATTCACCATCAATAAAAATGTAACAGCACAGCCTTTCAGGTTCACTACACAGAAGATGGATCTGGTCAGTAACAAAGCTACCTCTGGGGCATTTGTCCAGGTGCTGCCTTAACAGGGAGTGAAATGAGTCAGCAGCAAAGGTTCCCCAGCTTCCATTTCAGGAAGTTCTGCCACTGCTCACTCCTACTCTCATCACTGCAGACTCCCGAGCTACAAGGAGATTTCATCTCCACCATAAAATGGAAACCAGCTCCTGAATCTCTCTGCTCAACCTGGGATATATTTCTGCATTATCATCACTGAGCTAAAATATATAAAGCAAATGTAAAACAGGATTAATGCTTATAAAATTAAGTCACAACTGAAGAAGTGGAAACGCTGGTGTTCCTATCATTTAAAACTAGACTGCACACATCTATTACTACTAAGTGACAGAACCCTGGTCAGGAGGAAGACAAGAAAAAAGTATTCCTCTCTCATTTCCCTGATGTTATGATTGCTTAAATCAATATTATCCCAGTATCCCCCAAGCTGAGTCAGAAAGGTTCATGCAATTACTTTACATAACCAACTTCAAATTAAATTACATAAAAGGTCATCTTTCCCCATAACAGCCTCATTTACATTTTGTCCTAGAAATCTGTTTCCTACTATCAATTACAGGAGGGGGGGGAAACCAAAACAAAACACACAAAACCACAAAACAAAACAAACAAGCCCTGGTTATATGCCTTGTTCCGTTACTTAATATTTAAAAAACTGTTTTCTGACTAGGAAGAATAAAAATTTAAAGCAAAAAGGGTACAATGGAAAGTGCAATGCATAATTCACATCCATACCAATGAAGGCAATGTTTATATCACTCCTAAGTTCTGTTTTGACTCAAGTTTTTCCCCAATGGATTTTGAAGTTGACCACTACAGCTGTCATCTATACCATGTAGACTGAGGCAGGAAAAGTTGGATGTTATTGAAGGGTTTAATTTCTTCTGAAGTCCAGCAGAGCTTTGCTCCACCTAGATGATCATGGTAAAAGACAGATGATATTGTCAGTGTCTGCAACTTTAAACCATTCAGAACAGTGAAGGAGTTTGTCTCTCAGAGCTTGGGATCCTTTATACTATGGAGGCTATAGCATATAGAAAGGAAACCTCTACTGTTTTGAATTATAAAGGGATTAGTGACAGACCAAGAAATATTTGTTGGCTCCACCTGCCAGAAAGAAGAAAGTGAAGTAAACTGTTCAGTCAACTTTTATAATCCAGTAGTTTCACAAAACGAAGACAAAGATTAGAATCTAGTGTGAAGAAGATGAATGGAGTTAACAGCAACCATCCACTCCTTTCTAACAGTAACACAGCCAAGGGAAGCTGCATACCCCCTTCAACTAATAACAGAGGGGGGAAATTTAAATCTCCAGACTTAAATTTAGAAGTCACAGCCACAGTTTCAATTTACCTAAAACCCACTTTTATTCATAACAGAATCATGGAACTGAGGCTGAAGGGACCTTGGGAGGCCTGCAGTTTGCCCCCCTCCCCACCAAGCAATCTCAGCATCAGACTCAGACCAGGTTGGTCAAAGGTTTGTGCAGTCAGATCTTCAACATCTCCAGTTTCTGACCACTGTGTCTTGCTGTGCAGGTCACTGAAGAGTCTGGTTTCATCTTCTTGGGAACTCCCTCAGAGGTCTGAGAAGGCTGCCATTAAGTCTATCCTCAGTTTTCTTGTTTCTCCCAGCCTCTCATCACAGGTCCTCTGTTCCAATCCCACCACCACCCTGGTGGCTCTTTGCTAGACTTGACTCAAGTTTATTGACATCAGTTAGCATAAAGGATTGTCCATCAGAACTTCTGCTCTTCCTCTCCATCCAAATGACGTAAACACGCTAGGAGAAGTAAATGATTTTTTTCCTTTTTCCTTTGTGTTTTGGTATGATTTTTGCACTAGTGTCTTGGAAAATGCCCCATCTCTCATTTGTCCAGTTTGTCTCTCCCAAAGAGACTGACCAAGCATTTGAGACGTCATTTAATAATCAGGAAGAGCAGACCATTAAAAAAATCTCAGTATTAAAACAGATACCCAGGAAAAGATTAACCGTGAAACAGACTGAACCGCAAACACTGATCCAAGTTAACAGGTACTAACCTAAGGATGCTTGAGTTTAATTTGTTCTTTGTCAAAGACTCCTCTTTGTGAAAATAGAGATGCTTTCTGTGCCTCTAAAATAGGGATAATGGTATACTCCTTTCTCACCAGGCAGGTTAGAAAGTAGAGAGGCTGGAAGTACACACTGCCTGGAAGCTGTTGAAGGACAGCTTGCCTGACAACACTCCCTAGTAGCATGGGCTACTCCTGCATCTAGGCAAACACTTCTGTGAGCAAAGAGCTTGGAGGCCAGTGTGAGAAAGATGTGTTTGTGCCACCTGACCTACTCAGTGTTGCTGCACCCCCCTCAGATCTGCACTTCTCCCAAAACATGCATTTGTGCTGAGAGCAATAACCCCCTCGAGCCGACCCACCCAAGCCAGAATTCCAGCCAGCCATCCCTCCTGCAGGCAACAAAGGGGTATGACAGCAGCTCTTCTCCCCCACTAGCCATACCCTGAGCAAGGGTAGCTTCAGCACACAGCAATGTTTTAAAATAACTTGCAATAAACAAACTGGCTTCGTTAATGAAGGCTTATTTAAAGAAGGGAAGAAAAAGAGTTAAACTCTAATCATGAAAATTACTAAACATGCCACTTCTAGATGTAATTTAAAGTGGGCATCACAGGTTAATGGAAAAGCTGCCAAGATATTTCTAATAATTATTTTTTCCTTAACTCACAGTATAAGCCTTGTAATAAAGGACTTATAATGAAACCCTTGAAAATGAGACTGAAAAACAAAGCATCTCTTCTTCTACTCTTAAATATGACTAAAGTTAATATTTATATTTGAAGAAAAATGCACATAAGAAATGGGCCAGCACTTCATGCAGTCACCAGAAAGAACACAGCTAACATTCATCACTTATCATCCCTGAAGACCAACAGTGGCAACTGTCTAGTTTACAACAGAAACACAATGGATTGTGCTCAAACAAGAATAGAGCATGCATCTTCACTGAATTTTTTTTACTTCTTAAGTTTTCCAAACTTAAAAAACTTCTGGTATGGATTCCTACTGTTAACAGTAGCAGGTATTTCGAGGTATTTCCAAATCCACTTTGGCTACACATTACTCTAATTTTTCAGATTATCCCAGATTTTTTTATTTTTTTTTACAGCTTCATGTCTTCTATAAATAATATTAAGACATATGAAGCTACTTAATTTTCAAATCCTCCTAGCAAAGTTTACTCTAGGTATTTATATCAAAAAAGTTAGTTGAAGTCAGTAGAGGACTTACATTGGATAAATCAATTTGCCTCTGTTTCTCTTGCTGAGTTTTTATCTGTCATCTGCCCACCACCCTTGCTTGCCTTCAACAGTTCCCGTTAGAGTCTTTGCATTTGCAGAAATATCTTTCAATAGGTACTTTAAAAAACTATCAATATACAGTTCAAATCAGATGGCCTCCTGACAAATTTCTTGTCACCCTGCAATTCGTGCACCAGGAAGTAATTGGTTATATACAAGTTAACACTGTAATATAAAATAGTAAGACAAATAAATAAATAAACAGACAAACAAACAAATAAATAGAAATGCAGACTAGAGTGTCTTTCCATAGTCAGAAACACAGAGCAAGGAGTCTCCTCCTGGGTCAGCAAAACCTGTCCCAGCTTCTTAAAAGTAACAAAAGCCTCAACAGACACATGATCACAAATAAGGGTAGAACAGTTCATGTTTTTATTGTTCCCAGTTGTGCATGAAGTGAGGCTGCCTTTTCACAACATGGTATGACCACATCTAATTCCCTGCATCCTCACCTTTCTCCTCCACTCCCTTCTCCCCATTCCTAGCCTGCCATGCACTTTGAACATCTCCTCAGGTTCACCAGATTCCTTCGTGAGCTAAGTCAACCCAAGAACTCACAGAAAACTACCCCAACAAAAGCAGAAACGATAAAAAAAATGCAGGTTTATGGTGGTTTAGGGAAGTGAATCTACTGAGGAAATGCACTGAAAAGTCCCAGAACTATCAAAGAGATAGGCTGTGGGATTCTGTATGAAAGTGTCAGGGAAGGGAGACAGAGCAGCTAATCAGCAGCACTGAGCCTTCAGAGCACATCAGAGTACCCTCAAATCTAAGGTGGATGAAAGCAAGCAGAGTTACCTGAAGATTAGTTAAGTACACCTTAGCAAAGAAGACAAAGGAACACTTGAGCTTCAACCCTCACAAGCTTACTGCCACCCAAGGTGACTGACTCCTATCACTTTGGTCACAGTCATGAGCCAATAACAAGCTGGATGCATTCATCCCACATGTAGGACTGTACAGCACAGAACTGCCAATTACATCATGACATAAAGTAGTTCTGTGGATGAATAGTCTTTGCACCAAATTCACACACTGAGTCCCAAGGTAAGAAAATCTGTTCTGGTCCTTAACAGGATTAGAATTTGGCAAGGTGCCAGTCATGTCCAGTGACTGTCAATGTCACCTCCAAAGTGATATCAGGATTCTCCTACATTGGATTAATAATGGATGGAGAAGAAAGAAATCTCCACTGAATTAATAAAGGACCCATGAAATTATGAACTATAAATATATATATTTTTATATATTTCTTTTTTTTTTTTTTTAAAAGAACAAAGAGGTTCTGCCTGATGAATGCCAGCTGAGGTGTGAGGCTTCTGTAGGACAACCACAGATGTCAAGAAAGCATCTACAGCAGATTGGCTGAGAAAGTAGATAAACTTTTACAATTTGACCCTTTTAAAAGGAGACCAGTCTATTTGTTTACTTACATTTCCTGCCAACTGAATTGTTTGGGATGTTGTAAAGAAACATTTGCATTTGTGTTTATGTTAACCTAGTGAATGAGTTAATAATTTCAAGGTGATACCCATTACTGTAATGAGTATTAAAACCAGGTGTACAGAAAAATGAAATGCAAGATCCTCCAAAGCACACTACAGTGAATACAAAGGATACCACAAGATGACTGTAACGATGTTACACAAACTCACTAGAGAAGCAATAGTGTTGAGTACAGAGAAATCTTATCCTCAGTTAACAGTAGCAGCATTGTCTGCAGTGAACCACAACAGCATGGTAGCATTGAATTGATGTTTATTTTACATAGTTCCTATCACCTAGAAATGTTTTTTCTTGACTTTGGAAGTACTTCATTTATTATTTTCCCACTACAAGTACGTAATTTGCCTTCTTGAAAGAAGTAATTGTTTCAATTGCATTAGGCATTAAAAACTCTAATTGCATCCATGCATGGATACATTTAAGAAATAAGTAAAGACTGATTGGGGAACACATCAATCTATAAATATAATGGAATAATAACCAGAAACAACACCCTTCAAGAAAAAAGGAACATTCCCAAATGGAACAAACCTTTAAAGCCATCAGGATAGACTTCAGGAAGGAATTTAGTGCTGATGTCTCCTTGAACAAAGCGTGGATGGGCTATCACTTCTCGCAGTAAAGAAATATTGTGAGCCACACCTGAAAAAAAAAAATCAATACAAAATTAGGTAAATGTATTAATCACAAATGACAATAGGAAACAACTTGTAAAAATATAAGCTCTTATCTTTGTGGAATAAATACTTGTTAAGAACTTCAAGACCATAGAACTGATTTAATCAATGCAGATATACCAGTTTTGTTCCATTCCTGCCTCAAGACAACCTTCTTAATCACTCAGTTTAATTAAGAAGTAAACCTTCACCTCACAAAGCCTAATTCAAACACTTAACTAAGTCAATGACAGCAAGCACAACTGAGAGACTTTTGGTTCAATCCTATCAAATGTAAGCAAGACCAGAGCCATCTCCTTGAAATGACAGATGATGACCATATCAGCCCAACTCCAGCGAAGCCTGGTCCACCTTGTCATCCTGTCGCCTTACACACACCCTGTGGAAGACTGTGCCATGTTACACTGCAAGCACAGTGATGAAAAACAGAGGAAAAGGTTTCAGAGCTTCTATGCAGTTTTATAACATTTTAATCTTTAAGTCACTAGACAATCCTGGGGAACTTAGAGAACAAAGAAATCTATTGTTTGCCCTGTCTATGCCTTTATCCAACCTCACCTGGCCAATCCTTTTATCAAAAGGTCCATTGCCCCTTTAGCACCATTCTGTGATTCTGCTAGGTATACAGCAACCCATGCCCCTCCCCAAAATTTCTTTAGTTAAAAAAATACACTTATAATAGCCACCTTTATTGCTTAATTTCCTTGAGTATTATAGATTTTTATTCTTTTTTTCTTAATTTCTGCATGTCCTTGCTTCCCACTTCTCAGTTTGCCTCCTCGCTTTCTTTTTTCCCATAGTTTTATTTCCCATAGTTTTATTTCCCATCTTTTCCTCTGGTTTTTGTGCCAAGACAGACAGACAACTTCTAACAAATGCACTCTAAAGCCACACAGCTCAAAGGATGCTGCCAGTGTCAGTCTGGTATTTGCACACAAACCAGCAAGTCCCCTGCCCCTTCCTCACACACAAGTAAAAAATTAACTCATTTTCTCAGAGAGGAAGGGAATAAACCATATCCCACTTCCAGCACAGGCTGGAAAAAACAATCATGAGTAGAGATCAGGACAAGATAAGTACTCAGGACAGTTAATACTGGAAAAAGATTGTCTAGGGAAGGATGAGTCAGCAAAAACATCTAAGAACAGGTTACAGAAACACCTGCCAGGATGCTTATGTATTTGGTAAACCTTAATTCAGGCAGTGGGACTAGCAGACTTTCTGAAATCCTTCAAGCTTTATTTTCCTTTGAATTTAACACAGCTGTGTAACTAGCTTAGTAACTTAATGCTAAACTGCACTTCACCAGAGGTACTTGCAGTTAAGCAGCAAATATGACAGTCATTAGAAGTCATTTTACTGAAATATTAAATACAAAGAGGTCTTTGGAGGAAATGGGAGAGGAAAAGAGGTTAAAAAAAACCCCAAAACTTAGTAAGAAAAACCACTCAGGTAATTTAAATTATCTTCTGCCTGCCACACTCCAAACAATTTTCAAAGAGAAGACACTTTCTGGTTTGGGAGTAGCACACAGGTCATCTCTGGAAAGGAAAGTTTACAATTATGCAGGTGAGAGAAAACCATGACCTTTATCTCAACTCTTTTCTCAATTTTGGAAACAGATTGTAACAAAAAATTTGAAGAGCCATGACAGTTCAATCCTGGCGTGACTAGAGAATAGCACTAGAGAATTCTAGAGAATAGTATTTTTTAAGAGAAGTATGCAATTCAGAAGCATAAACTGTAGATTTCTGCAGCTGTTTCGCTACTCATTCCAGATACGCATAAATAAGGAAGCTGCTCTAGGAAAGGGGTTATCCAGCCTCAGATGTGTGGTGGGCACATTCCCACCCTTCAGGAAATACAAAGTCATTCA